GCCTTTACATCTCATCGCGAAAGTTATGATGAAAATTTACAACTGGAGAAAATTAATATATCGAAAAAATGCTGATATTTCCATTATACAAAATATAGAAAAATTGGCATTATTGTAGAAGAAAATCATTTTTAATGGTATTTATTATTATTTTAATGGTTTTTAGGTGTATAATTCTGTGTACACATAATTTTTTACCAAATTAGATTCTCTTTCATTCCCCATGAAAATCCGTAAAGATTCCCATGATCGAACTCTCGAAAAAGCAACGTATAATTGTCCATGATTGAAAACATTCTTGCGGAGATCTATGCCAATTTTATCAAAAGTTTGCCCTTGACTTTTATTAATCGTCATTGCAAAAGCTAATTTAATTGGAAATTGACGACGCTTAAAAGTGAATGGAAAGATGTTCTCACAGTACAAAGTTACACGATTGATGAAAACTATGTCCCCCGATTTGTCTCCGGTTAATATTCGGCATCGTAAGAGATTATTTGAAATTTGTATAATTTGTAACCTGGTCCCATTACATAAGCCCTCATTAATACTCAAATTTCGCAGTAACATAACGATAGAATCTTTCCTCAGTCGTAAATGATGTGGTGGAAAATTTGGAGGATTAAGTGTATTTAAATATTCTGGTAAAATTGCATCGTTAATATCGCCATTATCACAGTTTTCTACGCTGTCAATACCGGTATAGATACGTTCAGTTGTATCATCTAAAAGTTCGATTGCTTTAGAATTGATTTCATCGACGTCAACATTCCGCGCAGCCAAAACAGCGGTTTTCGCTAAGTCTCCAAATCGACGTTCATCAATAAGTTCCTTGAAGATAACTTCTACGATATTATCGGTTTTTGAAGCTATGCATTGTTCTGGAGGTGATATATTATTATCATTATCATTTAATTCTCCATTACCCAAAGATAGAAGGTATTTTGCAAATTCAATCTCTCCAGGCAAAGCGCGCATATTTTCTGACAATGAGAATATCGTGAAGTTCTTCCATAAAGCACTAAATTTAATAGATGAATTGACTAACTCACATCTCGTAGCGTTCGGAGTAACTGGTAATAACTGTCGAAAATCTCCGCCCAATAACATGATTTTCCCACCAAATGGTAAATTGTTTTCCATCAAATCACGTAACGTTCGATCAATTAATTCCATTGCCGATCTAGGAGCCATAGGCGCTTCATCGCAAATGAAAATATCAACTTTTCTTAAATATGCTGCATCTTTAGATTGGCTTTTTATATTAGAAACCGAGTCTGGAAATAGTGGGACTGGTATACCGAAAGTTTTATGCAGTGTTTTTCCATGAGGAAGTAAGATTGCTGCGATACCTGTGAAAGCCATTGTACATATTGATTTTCCCTGAGCTTTCAATAAATGATATAAAGTTGTATAAACAAATGTTTTCCCTGAGCCGCCTGGCCCATCAATATAAAAACAGGAAGATGTTAGTTTTTCCGTAGACATGGCTATATTTAAAATTTGGTCAACTATTTCCGTTTGTTTCACGTTCAACTGATTGTACTGACTTTGACCGATGCTTAGGTGTGTTTCATTGGAAATTTGATCATCATTCCCATTGTTCATATCATACTCAGATTCGATTAATTGAGGCATTGTCGGGAAAGCGCTTATACTTGACCCCTCATTTATGAGAAGCGTATTGATATGAGTGTATGCCCGCTTATGGGACTCAGATTCATTATGATTCCTTTGAAAATCTTGAGAAAAAGCATCTTTAAATTTCTCCCATAATTCTTCTGGATGATTTGGATGACAGTATATCAAAATGCGTACAAATAAATGTCTCAGCTGCCGAGGCATCATCCATACTTCTCCTTCAGTTAAAGCACGATCCCATTCTTGGTCATCTTCAATGAGCCCCAATGCTAAACATGCACCATGATAGGTATCGTATAAATCACCATTAACTGTCCTTAGGTCCTCAAAGCTAGTAGCACCTTTAACGTTTACTAACATTAATCGAAGATGAAATAATTCTACTTGAGTGGGACTTACTGAATACATTCGTCCAATTACATTAAAATGTGTTTTACGTCTTTCCCATGTATATTGGTTTGAATGTGGTGACCTTTTGAAAACGTAATGGGACGGAATGTCTGCGTATGTGTAATTCTTGGCTTCTGGATTGCGTCGATTTAAGTCAAAATAGTCCATCAACATACTTGTTTTTCCTAAAGCAGCTCTCATACCATCTTCATTTTCAACGTCATTAATAATTATGTTATGTTGATTTTGTAAATGGATTGGTAAGCGTATCACTGAATGACTTTTGTGTTGTAAAGGTCTACCATATATACGATCACACGCTTCTACCGGAGATACATATCGGGTATCTATAAAATTTCGAATTTCATCATGGTGGATTTCATTATGATTTTCACTGTTGCTTACAATGATTGAAGCTGAATCGTGACCCTTATATATATATTTATATAAATACTTCACGGACTTGATGCTAGAGACAATTTCAGCGTTAATATGACATCTAAATTTTTTTAATTAATATGGATTATAAGGGACAACAAATGCATTATCAGTCGTCTGACCGTTTGAACGATCATAAGTACCAGTATTTCTTCGACGGTATGTGGGATATCCGTTTTCATCCATCGAAGTACACTCTTGAAACTTTTTTGGAAATTTTTTTGTACATTTTCCTTTTTCATCTTTACACCAATTGCCGCATGGTCCATGAATCATATCTTTTAAAACTATATCGTGAAGGGTTGGATCTGCTCGTTGATCAGGAATCTCAGCAAAAATGTATTTATCTACAGCATCAGGAGTAAGGATTTTACTGCTTTGCTTCAAATTCACCAACAGATGCATGTGAGGTAGCCCGCGTTTCTGATATTCGATTACATATACATAAGCAGATACTTCGCCAAATAACATATTTTTAACAACCTCTTTGATCAGTTCGTCTTTTTTTATATCGAAAACTCGTGATACAATATCTGGTCTGTCAGATGCCATTTGGCCTGGTAATACATTTTCTTTAATTTCAATCCAATTAGGATTGCAAGTCATAGTGATGAATAAATCAGGTTTACCAAATTTTCTTACAATAGCCATCGAATCTTGATAATTTTGTAACATATTACGTGGGGATCCCGTAAATGTCGATGGAAGGATGACCATTTTTCCTATCTGACTATCAGTATCATTTGCACGTCGCTGTAAGTGATCTACCAATCCTTGATATGTTTCGCTACGTAAAGTCTTTTGATTCTGTCTGCAATAGTTCAACCTATCCTTTTCAATTTTAACGTAACTATCGACAACCCATTGCTGGTATAATCGTCCTCCTTTCAGAATTATATTATTGTCTCTGTCAGCCATTCTATATTTAGTATATGCAGCTCGTGATACTCTTTTGTCTTTATTCACGCAGCGTAAATTTGCATGCCAACCTCTCGTACCATAGGGATAAAACAGAGGGTAAATCCACGGTTCAACGTTAGGGTCCATGGAATTGATAAATTGAAGTTCTCTGGTGTGTTTATTGCGAACTGAAACATAGCATTCTGGTATATCACCATCAGCCGCAGTCGTAAAAATAGCGGCTACCTCATTAATTTTTTGTAAATTATAGCGTCTGCTGTCCATTCCAGGTTTGAGTGAAAATATTAGCTGCACTTCAGGTTCCTTCTCGGTATCCAAATCTCTCATGGATAGCAGTTCTTCATGCATCATTCGATAAGACTGAGCAAATAGATTACACTGACGAAGGCAATTATCTATTGCTTCAGCTATTTCACGATTCAATGTGGATATCAAATTGCATCGTATGTCTGTAGCTTCTTTCTGATCAATTATAAATAGTTGGCCATAGGATGGAGTTTCATGTGATTCAGGGTAAAGACTTTTATTGAATTGATAGTAAACTTGACCATGTAGCTTAAAACAAACGGGGCCAGGTCGTCGATCAGAAAACTCTACTAAATTAGCATTAAATGATGCAAATGCAAATGCATTATTATAACCCCGTATTCGTTCATGAAAATGCCTTGAATGTGCATGAGTACCATTGAAAAGATCTTGTAAAATAGTTGGTGGATTGGGTAAAGCATCAAGAGCAACTTCTCCATGACTACAACAATCGTTAAAAGAATCTTTGCGAACTTTTTCAGCCTCAAAATGTTTAGCATTACAATGGCTATACCGAATATTCATCGCACCAATGTAATGTTCTTCGATATGTTGAACTGAAGTATCCCGAGTAGTATTAGGCCGATTTCTTTCTGATATATGAAGCTGATGACTGCTGGATGGCTCATCCATGGTAGCAGGATTAGTAGTAACGTTGTTTATTTGCAAGTTGACTGGAATTGTAACTTCTGTGACTATAACTTCTGTGATTATATCATCGTGATTTACACTCTCGGAAATAATATGTTCAATTGTATTCTGAGGAGTGTTATCTGAGCATTGAGTAACCGTCGATGACCGATAGGAGTCGATTTCATGAATTATACGATTTGAACTATGTTGTTGTTCCCGAAGTTTTGCCCGACGTTTACGCTGACACGTGGCATTTCTTTCTCGTCGTATTCTCTGAATATTTGTTCCTTTAATCCCTTGTCTACTGACATAATTATGTTCATTGGCTATCAGAGAATTGATCCCGTTTGGATGCATATCATCATGAACTTGGATATCTGATAATCCAAGAGGGTTATTAGATTCCAACAACAAATGATTATTCTGTTGATTGCGACATTTAGCACGATATTCACGCTGATACGCTGCGTTTTTCTCACGTTTCATTCTTTTATATTCTTCGTCTTCTTCCTTTGTGCGTTGAATTATTTTTCTAGGCATTTTAGAATCTACGACGATAGAATAATAGATGGGAAATATATGAATGACTATGAGATAGAAAGAAAGCTTCTTTTATTTAATTTACAATACAGTAACTAATTTCATTATTTTTATTGTTTTTCAATGCGGTTTAATTAATGTTGCGTTTCACGTGATTATTGAATCTAAATAATCAAAATACAAAATTAAAACTGAATTGATCGAATGTATTTGAAAAATTAAATTGTTCTTCCAGTGAGATTATAAAATAAATGATAATTTCTAGTCAATTTGTTGTAATATTTTTAGTATTATATTCTGGGTAATGTTTCTTTCATGAACTGTGCGAAGGTTTTTTTGTAGGTAAAATTGCTGGTATTGTTATCGGTATTTATCTGTATTATTGGTAAATTGTTTATCGGTATTTTCTGCAACTTCACCGACTTTCCGTATGATTGAACAATTCGCCGCAACTGCAAATAATAAAAATGATTATGTTATATCACTTAATTAGGATTTAGTTCAATATTTAAAGTATTGACACGTGTGGAAAAAGGTACTGAAAAATCCTAGTGGATTCGCTAGAAAATTCTATTGAAATTCTATACAAATTCCATGGAGTTTCTATAGCGATTCTATGGAAAAATTTAGCTTTTTTGGATTGAATATTCTATTGGAGAAATTAAATAGGTTTTCAATTTCTCATTTTGTACAAAACTTGTACAAAAACATTTTGTACAAAAATTTTCTAAGTTCTTTCTGCTAAATTCGATTTTGTTTCATATTATAGATCCGAGATGAAATGACGTAGAAAACTGCCGAAACGTTCTTATAGAAAAAATTGAGAGGAAAATTTTGCAAATGATCCAGAGCGTTATGAAACGTGAAGATTTTTTGTTTATAATATGGAACGTGAACAAATGATGTTTTTAGGATGGTGTCTGTCTGTATGCATGTGGGTGCAGATTTTTATTTTGGAAGATTCATTTTTGAAAACTTTAACATAAAAAGAGTGAAATTTGCAGATAGAAGTTCGAAATTTGACTCCCTGATAGCTATAAATGAGCCCCACTTTGTCGCTTTGTTTCAGCTAGACCGGTCCAGTAGTTTCTGAGATGCAAACACTTGTTTAAATTCGGGATTCCCTCTATTATCTCATCTATTACCTATTATCTAATTTTTTGTAATAAAATATGCAATAGATTCAACGCAAAAAAAAACGAATATTTCATTAGAATTCTTACAGAAGGTACATAGAAGTTCAATGGAATTTTCTAGCAAACTCGCTACGATTTACTACCGATTTTTTTATACGGGGAGCGACATACTCACAGCGTTGATTTAATTTATTGTCTTATTGTTGGAGTGATGCCTTGCTCATCGAAAATAAGACTGCTGAAAGCACTGACTGCTCTGAAAGCCGACAATTATGACGAATTCAAACAATTGTGCAGATGTTGTAGGCAATCAATACATCATTTTTTGAGGCAAAAACTTCGCCGAACTCTTTTTTCGGACAGAAAACTAAGAAGAATAATTATGTAATCAACCATAGACAGCGTACTCACCGTAACCTCAATTTCCACCAAAGTAATTTACGTTTCCTGTCAGAGAAAACTTTTCATCCCGAACTCACGGATTTTTCAATTAACTAAGTTTAGTAAATCAATGTATCACTCAACAATAACTATACGAATTATACAGAAACCAATTTCCACGTTATTCTTATTTATATATATATAATAAAAGGTTATACAGATCGCAGATGACTATCGACACGTTGTTCTATATATATGTGGATGAAATATCATCGATCATACCTTATACAGAGAGCTGCTGCCATCTGTTAAGTAGAGTAAAAACTATCCCTGAATATTAATAGGGGAATCAATAAATTTAATATATTTCATCCATTTTTATTTGATAGTAACAAAATTTTTAATCCTAAGAACCATAATTGACATCCAGATCTTAAAATTACATTGAGTCTTCAGAATGTATTCATCAGTCATTTAAATTAGTCTTTCCTATCTTTCTCTCAAACATCAATGTCATAAAAGTAGTTTTTTCCATCATATTGACAATATGTTTTACTTATCTCTATTTGAAGATAAACTTCGAATTCCCAACAATCATATTTGACATTAAGTCTTTGTTTAAGTAACATCGAGTTATTATAGAATTTTCTAAATCTAAGTCTATTATGAATTGTCTATAATTAGTTTGTTTGTTTGTTTATTAGTTTGTTGGGCAATATCACAAAAAAATACTGAACAGACATTTCAGAACATACAATTATGAAAATTTGAAATTTGACAAAATCTTATAATATTGTCGCTACTGACAATAGCTAACGCATGACAATGAATTACTGGGCAGACTTCAATAAAATAGTTATTTTTAGTGCATGAATCAAATGATAAAAATTTGCAGTTTTCATTTTAATGGCAAAGGAAATTGAAAAAATAAAAAAAACAACTAAAACGAAATCATGTTTTGCCATTACTGATGAGATATTTTCATTTTAACGACAAAGGAAACTGAAAAAATTAAAAGAAAAAAACTAAAAAGAAATCATTTTTTGCCATCACATGAGATATTTTTTCAAAATTGAGTAATTTTAATGCACAATGCCAAATTAAAAAATCTTTATCTTGTTGTTTGTTTAAGTCATGCTTTCCGGTGAAACTGTGATTTGTTATCCGTGATTTGTTATCTGATTTAAGTTTTGACATCATGCAACTTTTTTGTGAACTTCATAAAAAAAAATAATGCATAATAATCATCAACCGGGATGTGGAGTGGGAGGGAGAAGTGCCACAATGAGTCTAATCTAATTTTTGCCTCTGAAAAATGAAAAAATATATAAATGCAATATCTGAATATATATTAGATGAAATTGAAACGCTTTAAAAGACGATACTGCCGAAATCAAACCATTTCCACTACCTTCTCCGTTCCGTTCTGCGAACAGTCATCTGCATCTCGTTTGGGAGTTAGAGGGGGTGACTCAACTGCATCGTCCATTTCGTCTTCCGTCATCACTGGAGCGAAAGGGACTGCTGTGATTTGTTCCATAGATTTGACGTTAAAAAAAAACGCATCTGCACGACGCTCGATAGATCCTTGGACATCAATCTTCATCCCTTCGACAAACTCAGGTTTCGGTACAAATGTGGTCACGTGTACCGTTATTCTGTGCACATCTGTGCAGATCATTGCACATCCGTAGCTGGCCCCGTTAGCGGTGATTATGCTCCTAAAATGTTCTTTTAACCATCCGGAAACGATAACCGGAGATTTAGCTGTGCACACGTCCTTCATTTCAATCCTTGCGAATGTGATTGCCTCCTTCTTGCTTCCCGAAGCATCGTTAACAATATCAAATATTCCAAGAATTTCCAGGGTGCTTCCACGCCCAAACTGAAATTCTTTTTTGCCCACGGTGTCGCCTGATCGATAATAAGTGGGGTTAGCCTCTTTAATCACTCCACCTGTGATCTTGAGGATCTGCGCAAAGGAATGGACAATTTTTTAATGATTAATGATTTGAGAATTATGATTTGAGATTAATGATTTGAGAATTGAGTATAAAAGATGAATCTTTGTTTGCAATCAAAGTTGAGCCAAAAAAATATATGAAAAAGTAACCACAAATTAATTTTTATTGAATTTTTTTTCTATCTGACTGGAAATTAATGTAAATGATTAATTCAATACCTGATACATGGAAATTTCTGTGTTGTATTTGCAGGCGTCATCTCCCCAAAAAAGTATTCTAACCCTCCTTTGATCATTATTATTTAGGATGCATTTATACAGCCACTTCGATGGGGAATTAGGCAGTTCTTTGATGCCTTCGATGCAATCGACGTACCCCGTGATTTTCCTGAAAAAAAAAACCATTAATCCTCTATCTCCAGCACGTGGGCATGAGAGGTTAGGTGCTTTAATAAAGCAATTTTCCACCATGTCAGAATTATTTCCCAAAAATACTCACATTAACGTTGCCCCTGCATTAAAGTGGTCAATAGCCTTGCTTGTGGTGAACTTTGTGGGTGGTGATGGCATGATTATTCACTGAATAGATTTTACTATTCGTAACACTTCAATTTTTAACGGTTGCGAGTTTTCAACACGAAATGCGTCCGGCACCGAACGAACGTGACTTGGGCCCGAAATATTCCGAATATGCTCGAGAGTGCACGATTGAAGCAACGAACGAAACCGTGGTGGCGCATCGGTTTCAATGTTACGGTGACAGTGTTTCGACTATCGACATACATATATCGAGATATCGAAATCGATTTCCTTTCTCCTTTTTACGATAGGATGTTACCCTTCTCAGTTATATCCACTATTTCATAGGGTCGGGTGTATGCCTGATCTAATTTGCCCAACTTCGGTTCTTTTTGTACGTAAGCGAGTTGTCCAATTTTTAGCTCTAATGGTCGTGCATCTCTGTCGTACAGTTTCGCTTGTTGGAGATGTTGATATGCTAACTCCTGGATTTTCTCCATTTTTGTCATTTGGTCTACTACATAATCGTTGTAGGTTTCGATGCCATGATCTTCTCGAATATTTGATGGTAGCCGAACCTTCTTTCCATACAGCAATTCGAATGGTGTGAATTGTGTGGCACTGTGTACGGTGGTGTTGTACAACAATATCGCAAATGGTAACAGTTCATCCCATTGATTGGTCTCGTTGGCAAACGTCTTCAAGTATTCCACTAGAGTGTGATGGCTTCTTTCGAGGGCGCCGTTAGACTGGGGTCGGTACCCTGATGTGGTCACATGATGGAATCGTAACAGTTTTCCCAGGTGGTAGAATAGTTTGCTGAGGAAACTAGTTCCCTTATCTGAGAGTATGATTCTGGGGCAGCCATATAGAGCGACGTACTGCGTCACTAGGGCGTAGGCAATGGTCTGTGCCTTAATGTCTCTTAACGGAATGGCGGTACAGTGTTTCGCGAAGTTATCTTGGATGGTGAGGATATGTACATGTCCTGCTGAAGTTGGAGGAAGAGGTCCTACGGTATCGATGGATATTCGTTCGAAGCATTCGCTTGGTGTTTCTGTTATCAGCATTGGCTGTTTGAACTTTATTCGCCTGATCTTCTGCAGCTGACAGATGCGGCATTTTTTTATCATTCGTTCGATTTCCTGTTTCATTCCGGGCCAGTAGAATCTTTCTCTCACCCTGTGGAAGGTAGTGACTATTCCTTTGTGTCCTCCCGGAAGTGTTTCATGACATTCCCGAATGATTTCGGGTCTCAGTGCCTCGGGGGGCATTCGGACGTTGCCGTGACACAAGGTGATAGTCACAGCGTGAGCTTGGAATTCTTGTTCTAGGTAATATCTGATCCTGATGTCCTCGTCAATTTCGTCTCCCTTCATCGCTATCTTCAATTCCTTCACCTCATATTTCTCAATTGCTGTTTTTAAATTACGCAGGCAGAGTTTTATGATTCTATTCTGAGTTTTATCGAAATGGTATCTTTTTACAATGAGGGTGAAGGTTCTGAATTTAGGATTCAATTTCTTGATGTAGTCTAGGTCAATCAGGTTCAAGTCTCAAAGAAGTTCGGTATTCTGCTTGGTGAATTCAGCGTCTGCTGCTAAGAAATGGGCAATATTTCCTCGAACGAAGGTTAATCCATCCCTGGTTTCGTTGATATTTTTAGCTGGTTGATAATCATCCGGTGGGATACTCAACTTGTCTTCAGGTGGCCCTGCATTTTCCTGTTCTCCGAAGATCGGCTCGGATTGGTTAACATTGTGCCCGGACGGGTTGACAATTGCTCTTTTCTTAGGTGAACAGTCCATTGTGTTTAGAGGATAAGGGTACCCTGGATCCGCCCCGGCAAGGTGTCGTTGACGGATTGTAGGAATGGGGGAAAGAGGATGTCTTTTGGCTCGTCGTCTTCTATAAACGTGGGGTTGTTGTCCTCCTCGTCTGAGAAGAGCTGTTCATGAATCATGCTGTCCCTATTTCGATGGATTTCGACGGTGAGGACCCGGCTGTTGGATTTTGAATAGCTCTGGGAGTTGGGATTAGGGATTCCCTTATGATCCTTGGTTTGGCGATTACAGAGTGTCGGGAGGATGATTGTTGGTTGGTTGCCCCCGATGGCTGCTC